AGAAATGACATTTATGAGGTATTGTTTTTACATTTTATTTTATTTGTATTCAAATATTAATATATTAATTATAATTAATTCAACTTTTTTCAACAAATAGGAATGGGGAGCTGTAATGCCTGATTTAATTAGAGTATTTGTTTTATTTATGCATAATTTAACTTTTATATCACCCAATATTGTAGATTATTTATTTGAAAGAAAAGTTCTGAGCAATTTATTAAGTGAGAAAATAATATTTAAAACTAATTTAGAAAATATATTTTGACAAAATGCGTTCAAGGCATATTCACATAATATGCTTTGAAACCTAATATTTTGAATGCTAAGGTATATCCATAAACTAACTTTCACATTTACTTTCTATTATGAGTCGAGTTGTACTTTTACATTTCGTGATGGTTATATGAATATATTTGGCATCTTATTATTTACTTGTTATTTCTTGATTTATAGATGTGTGCGTGTTGAAGTATCAGCAATGGATGTATCTGTTGAAAAATTGATTACAGCTATCTGCAATATGTTCAGCTGTATGATCACTCTGAACAAAAACATTGGCACAAGTTTGGTGATGGATCCTGGATCCATGTACTGTTTAACAGCTATGTTGGATACTTCTAATGGTATGGAATAAAATATTGTAATTGTCAATTTGATAATATGATAAAGAACAAACCATTTCTTTGTAATTATATGTTGAAAGTGTATACAGTAGGACTCCAATTATCCGAATTAATTGGGACCGGGACCCATCGGATAATCAAATATTCGGATAATCGGAGTTTTTTTTAAAAATTGCCATTGGAGAGAAAAAAAAGTTACGATTTGATATTACACTATTTTTTTTATTGAATTAAATGAAAGAAACATATGATATTTTCACATGTTTTAAATATAAATAAAATGTTCTTATGTACAAGTTTAGAAATAAAAATCATTGTTTTTTAAACATCTCCATCAATGTAAGCTGTTTTGCGGTCTTCAACCGTTTTCCGGCTTTGCGGGTGGAAGAATAATAGCGCACTTTGACTTTTTTTGGACAATTTTTTTTCTGAAAGTGATTCGGATAATCGGCGATTCGGATAGTCGGAGTTTGGATAATTGGAGTTCTACTGTACATATCGGGAAGTTAATGCAACTTGTCTTAAGGCTAAATGCTGCTTATAACTAGTTGAATAGTTAAAATAACTCAAACGATTTTAATTTACCGTTTAATTATAAGAAACTGGTAGACCGATTTTTTCTTAATATTAATTAATTGCCAGCCACATTCAATTGCTCATGAACAAGTTTGTATAATATAGTTGGTTTTTATAATTGTCTATCGAATTGTGTTAAACTATAACTTTTTTTATTACAGGTTTTAAACATAAGTTGTACTGTGGAATATACCATTTGTTTTCTCAGTTGGCAAAATTTCAGGCTGGCTTCGATGCTATAATACTTGCAATTCAACAATGTGATGAAAACAGCTTTCTCAAAACATTATGTTTCTCTCTCTGTCACAGAGTGATAATGAAGGTTAGCCAAAAAACTTAAACATATAACAATTTATTTATATATTATTTGTGTCATGCATAAGCAATGCTATAATTATTAATGCTGGTGAATATTTGAGTTTATTGGTGGAATTACAAATGTTTGAACAATTGTTAATTGATTAATTATGCATGAATCTCATGTTTATATATGCATAATGAATGCATATGATGAGGCACTATGTTTAAAACACAAACTCTAAAGTTTAGTGCGAGATATTTCTGTTGCTTCTCACATTATAATCTGAGCAAACTATTGTATCAATATATATCAATTTGAAGCTTTGGAACTTCTAATCTATATTTTCTGGTAATACTATTGTGTCTTGATACAAAGGGATATTTTAATAATCTAATTTAATATTTTAACCGATTTCAAACATGAGCATATAAGTGATCATAATCAAGGCATGAAGCCTATTATTATGTCTTTTATTAATGTGTATATGTGTTTTTAATTTATTTACCTTTCTAAATCAGTTCATATATTTCAGATCTCAAAATATGCAGTTTTGTTTTCATGGTTAATATACTTCAAACCAGAATAGACGGCAAAGATTTTTACCACATTTTGGACAATGCTGAGTTTAAAGATGAAAATAGAGTATGCACGTACCGAGTTAGGATTATTGAAGTAATGATTGAAATAATAAAACGTCAATTCTTAGTGAATGAAACTGTTGACAGTAAGTGGAGATGCAATTCTTTATAAATGTATCCTTTTGTATCTGACTTATTTTAATCTTCTTTTAGAGAAAAATTGCTTATTTGAGGTATGCATAAACTCTCTAAGCATGTGTATGTATATGCTGCAACATGTTTGCAATGAATTGAAGGAATTGCATAAATTGTTATTGCAGCGATTACATGCATCATTACAAAATTTATATGATAAATGTGCAGAGAATTTGAAAAAACTGTTGGATAAAAAGGTAATTAAATAAAATATTTGACTGTTTTTAGCTCACACACACACACACACATATATATATATATATATATATATATATATATATATATATATATATTAGGGTGGTCCTTAAAATGGTCATGTTCAAATTTCCTTGCTCCCAGGGGCTCAAATGGTTCCAAATAGATAAAAAACAATTCTCTGAAAGTTCTATCTCTTAATATTAACGTTTAGATAGAGCGCAATTCAATCAAAGTTTTGTATGGAAATAGCATGGAAAATTTTTCAAAAATTTTAAAAATATTTTTTAGATGTAATTTAGCGAACAAATGAATGAATAAAACTCATTCATTTGTCGCTAAGTTATATCTAAACATGTTTTTTAAATTTTCAAATTTTTTTCCGTGCTCTTTCCATACAAACTTTGATTGAATTGCGCTCTATCTAAACGTTAATATTAAGAGATAGAACTTTCAGAGAATTGTTTTTTATCTATTTGGAACCATTTGAGCCCCTGGGAGCAAGGAAATTCGAAAATGACCATTTTAAGGACCACCCTAATATATATATATATATATACATATATATATATATATATATATATATATATATATATATATATATATATATATATAACGATATTTATTAATTAATTATTAAATTTCGACATTCATAAGAACAAAATTGCCTGTAGAGTTTAACTAAATTGATATCAATTTGCAAATAATAGTGAGTTTTATTGTTTTTAAAACGAAATGAAAGTATTTTTTTAAATTGCGTTTATTAATATTATTTTTGAAATCATTACTGTATTTATTAATTTTGCAGAGTCATAATTTATAGTTAAAAAAAAAATTGTTTCAGAGGCAAGCAGAAGCCGAAGAAATCAAATTGATCATAAACTTGTTATGTGCTTTTTATACAAATATGAATTTCAAAAACAATGGTTTAATTTTTGAAAAAACTGATAAAATTGGAAAACTGAGTATTTGTACTATCATACAGAAATTGATACCATTTTGTTCAGCGGATGATGCATTTTTAAATATGTGTCTCGAATGCTTGCATAATTTATACGGATCATTGCTTATTAGGTGAATATTAAATTTTTAAATTGAAATTCTGTTTTTTTATGCTGCCAAATATTATCAATTTCTTTTGTCATTAAAGCGTGTAGAGATATGACGAATTCACCTGGAGTATCTTTTTCACGTCTTGCGGGTCTGTCTACAGATGACAATAAAGCTAAGTGCATGCTTTCAATGATTATTAATTTAGTTATACAAAATAATACAAAAACACACAAGAAAAGTATTATGAAGTTATTGTTGTCGATCTTAAAAAACGCTTGCTATGCAGTGGAAGGCAGAGTAGCAGTTTACAAGGTCGGTAAATTATAATTGGGATATATATATATATATATATATATATTTGTTATAATTTATTTATCATTTAACATTTTAGAGTGAGGTATTATCCCACATTAAATCCAAACACCCAAAAGTTTACCAGACAATTTTATATTGTGGATAGATTTTTTGCTGTGTTTTTCCAAATATTCTGAAGGACAGCTGAGTATTGTCAAAAACAACGAGTTATTATCCACATTGATTGTTTCTTCTGAAAATAAATCTAAATTAATAAGTAGCAAATCATTAGCAATTTTGAGAAACATATCATTTAATACTAGCAACAAGATCGTTCTTCTAAATTCAAGTAAGTATACTTAAATAACTGTTGTAACTCTATTGAATAATTTAATATTTTTGTAAAGAGGGTAAAAATTACTTAATTAATTGAAGCACTTGCAATTTAAAATATATTTTCATATATTTCTTAACGTTTATTAATAATTTATCCTCATGTTTAATTTGCCAAAGCAAAAGGCACTGACGTTTCCAAATATTTAAATACTCATAACTGAAATATAGAAAATTTTTGATAAGATTTATTTTGAATTTGCTAAGCAAAGAACAACAGCGTCTAAAGATTTTTATATGCGAACTCCACACAAAATTTGTCTGATTTTGTGATATATTCAAAGTTTATTTCGTTACAGTGGATTTGTTGATACTTAATGAGAAATTGGAAGTAAACATTTTTGTATAGTATAAAAAATACCAGTTGTAGGGGTATGCTTTATAGAATTCATTTAGTCAATACAGGGTGATAGTATTGATCGTAACTATCATGAAGAAAGTCAGAAAAAACATTTGTCCAGTGTAGTTTGGAAATTATGAGCTTAAGTAGAGCCTAGATCTTTGATGAAAATGTGACAATTTTTTGGTTATTGTGGTTAATTTTTATCAATTTTGTTCATTTAAACTTTGGATCCGTAATCATAAATAGCATTTCTAAGACCAGGGACAAAAATAATGACACAATTACCAAGAATTAAACCTCTTTCTTGAACTATGAATTTGATTTTTTCTAAATTAATCAACTTTGAAAGGCCGCCTTTCTTAAAAACAAAAGTACTAAATTAAGTGCATTTAATCATACGAATAATGATAACATACTTGATAGTTTCATAATAAAAAAGAGTAAGAAATTAAAAACCTAAATAACATGATTTGTGCTAATACATTTTAATCACAATAGGTGCATTCTTGTTCAAACCATAGTTCAAATGTTTGCCATACTTTGAACTGAATGCGAGAGAAATGTAACTGCAAAAATCGTATTATTTTTAAATTCCCGTAGGGTAGTTATGGTAATGGGCCGAAAATCGAAAATGAAAATTTTTGCATATCTTCACATGTTGAAGGTTTCTGAACATTTTGGCATACCTCAGAAAAAATGGATGTGTGTTTTGTGTGTCCGCATTTTTTCGTTCACGTTTTCGGGGGCACGGATCAACCGATTTGAATGATTCAAGAAACATTCTATTCCTATTGATTGGGAGATGTGCTGTTTAGTTTTTGGTAAAGGCAGGTCCAGCCGTTACGGAGATACGGAGCAAAGAGTGCAGAAAATAGAAATCGAGATTTTCAGAGAACGGAATATCCGATTTGAATGATTCAATTCAAAAAATTGAATCAAAACATTCAATTTGTAATGATTGGAAGAAGTTGTGTTTAGTTTTTGGCAAAGGCAGGTCCAGCTGTTTTGGAGATACCGAGCTAAATGGCAGTTAAAATAAAAAACGGCACTTTTTGAGAGCTAAGCATCCGATTTGAATGATTCAAAAAACTTTGTGCTTGTTTTGACAAAATAATTGCATTTGGAAAATTGCAGTTCTTCAGTTCACTTAATTCTTATAAATATTAGAAAATGTTGTAGTATTTATAATAATTTATTTCAAAACATTTAATATTCTTCGAACATTTCGTTACGGTACGGTAAGTTCCAGTAATTTGCCCTAAGGCACGATGCCATTCACAACTAGTTACGTTTTCATTTTATACTCAATTTCTTTTATTATGGAATAATCCATTTTACAAAATTCTGATTAAATGCACCAACTTTTGATGGAACTTGCCAACACACATTATTGCGTTTTTTAACAAAAAAAATAAGCCTCTAAAAGTCGTTCAATTTTGAAAATTTCAAATCCAAAGTTCAATAAAAAGTCTCAATTCTTGAAAACATGGGACAAAATTGATAAAATAATAACCACAATAACCGAAAAATGGTCACATTTTCACCAAAGAACTAGTCTGTACTTAAGCTCATAATTTTCAAACAACAATAATTTTCAAATGATAATATTTTAATTAACAATATTACTAAAGAAAATTGGAAAATTTTTCTAAGTACCTGTAGAAAAATCGTCGCGCGACCTATGAGAGGAACTCTGCGCGAACAGTTTGTGCCCGCTTAGTGCGAATAGTTGGTGCACTCAATATATCGGAAAAGGATGACTCGCTTTATCCTTTCAATTTGATAATAGTCACGGCTTGCCAAATGGACCAAAGCCAATCGCTGTGTTTCGATTCAGGATGAAATCGAGTAAATCGAAATTTGAAGGGTATGGACCGTTACATACAGATTCAGTCATCGTCTGGTATTTGAGTTTTTCCATATTTCGATAGGTTACACCTTCAGAAATAACATACTATAATTTTAAATCGATATCCTAAAAAGTTTTTGAGTTACAGCCATTTAAAAGAGTATATATATAGTATATAGTATAAAGATTTTAAACGCGTTTTTCTCGAAACAGCATTTTTTGAAATTGCTGGAGTGATTACTCGGAGACAAATGATCTGATCGCTATCAATTTTTTTTTTTTGCATCTCCTCTATATAGTTCTCCATACGATGATCCTCCAGTTTTTTTTATCTGATTAAAAATCGAATTTTGGTAGGCCAAAAACGACCAAAATTTTGGGAATAATTTAACTTTTTTTTCAACATGCCGCCATTTTGCCAATTTTTAATATTTTTTTTGTCCGAGGGCCATCGTACAGACAATATGTTTTAGTTTAAAGAGATTTTTTAAAATTATTTATCAACGGAGAAGGCTGCAATCACTCCAGCAGTGGCGAATCTTTTTTTTGGCGCCGCCGGAGATCGTGTGTCATTTCAAAAATATTTAATATTTTATTTCAAAAATTTTATTGTGTATAATTGTACTCTCAAAAGACGGATTCACTAGTTTTTCTTTTTTTTAATTCCTAAAAATGGCCTTTTTTAGATTGTCAAACTAGGTGTGCACCTTAACGATTTTTACGTTCATTTTATAGGTTTATTTCGATGATACACCAATTTTTAATCTCTTTCTCATTGAAAATATGTGAATATTATAATTTTGAAAATATGTGAATATGTGAATATGGCCTCTTTCTTCAGGCTGTAAAACAGTAAAAGATCTCGGAAAACAATTAACTTAATATTTATAACATATGATGTTAAATAATTATTCGCTAGTACTAAAATTTTTTCGTTATATTCTGGCAGTAGCGATATCCATTATCACTTCCTGAAGTTTGATTGCTTTAAAATATGAGTATAAAAAAATGGCATTGCAGTTGTTTGAAATAGCTTTTAATTGACATTACTCGAAAGTCTATAGATTTTTCTTGTAACACTCGAAATACTCATCAGCATAATATAAATTAATAAAACAAATATAAAAACCTATTTTAAATATTGCATCTTCTTTGTAGATAAAAATTAAAATTAGAAATTTATTTTAGTTGATGCGATAAATATTCTATTTTCATTTAAATTTTATTCAAACTAGCTTATACAAATATACACACATAAAATTAAGTTTTGATCATCAAACTTGGAATTCCCATATTATCCACATATTTCCGTTATAGACATTGAGTTTTTGAAATAATATTATCGTAATCGAGTTGAGAAGTAATCAGATGTTAATTCAGAAAGATCATTTTTAATATTGCATTCGAATGATTACAAGTGTGTCATGTGCTAATAGTATTATTGTTTTAGAAACTTATATAACGGCCACTATTGCTGCGTTGCGAAAAAGCGACTTGGAAGAACTATTGTGCGCTGTTATAATTATATGGAATTTATCAGCAAATAATCAAAGAGCGAAATACGTAATGAAATCGCATAATGTGCATGATCAAATAATCGAAATGAACATAAAATTTCAACATAGATCAGAAGACTCAGTATGTTTGAATATTCTTATGGCGCTGCTGAATGGTTTACAGCGCGTTTTAAATGTGGGCAAAAATAGTTAATCGTCAAAATCATACGGTATGCAATTCACAATGTGTTCATATATTTTAAGCAATCATGTTATTAATGTTATTCATTGCTATTTATATTGATTTTTATTTTAGAGTTTTAAACTTTGAAATATATTTGTAATTCTATAATAAAAAATATGTGAGACGTTATTAATTCATTTAGTAGTGTATTTTGGTATACGACATTATATTATAATGAATCAATATTTTCAAATTCTGATTTATAATAAACATTACTTTAGTTCAAAAGTAAAATATTCTTTGATCCATTTAATAAGTAAGCAATATTTATAGAGATTTAAAGTAGCAGTAATTGTTTGAGCACAATCATGATTAATTTTTAGCTTTATTTAGATCGAAAATGTTTTTTACAACCTGGCATTTCATTTACTTTCCGACCTATAATTTATGTTGCCCTACTATTTACACTAGTAAGCAATATTGATTGTCTATATACTGTTCATATGTTGAAAATCTGTCAATAAAATAAATTATACTTTATAAAAAATTGATGTATGCGCACGTAGTGTAAGTGTAACGATGAGAAAAAAGTACAAACTATAGATAAGAAACAATAGATACAAAAGTACAAATATATAAACATACAGATAAAATATAAATAAACTAGTGGTGTATGGCATCGTGCCTTAAGGCAAATTGCTGGAACTTCCCGTATTGTAACGAAATGTTCGAGAAATATTAAATGTTTTCAAATAGATTATTATAAATACTCTGTAACATTGTCTAATAAATTGAATTGCCAAGTTAAAATTGTTTATTTAAAATATATAAGTGAACTTTAGCCAATTAAATCCGTGCGCCT